TACCGTGCAAGGCAATACTAACCTTTAGGAGTTTTTGGAGTTCAGTGTCTTGCTCAAGGACATTTTGACATGTGAAGCATGGGGATCAAACCGCCAACCCTGTAATTAGTGGGCAAACCGCTCTCCCCTCTTTTGAGTGTTGCAGGTGCTTCACCTGACGATGTAATGCAATCCAATGCAAACACCATAAACTCAGCCTTTAAAAACCACTGTTGAGTTGAAACAACACCTCAAAGACAAAAGTCGCAACAAAAACTGAATGAGCTTCGCAAAGTAAGATTATATTTAGTGAAAAAGTATGTGAAGATTCTTTGAAACACCATTTTCATATTTGTTGTTGGGAAAGGTCATTTTATTTTACGGATCTGTGATTTCCTAAAAGGTGTTCTGGAAAGACCCTTGTTGATACAAATTATATGGAAAATAGACTCACGTTCTGAGATTATTCTAGACAGATGAATTGGTTGTGTTGAGTTTGAGTGATCTTTTTCTTCAAAATGTTCTTTGAAAGAATTGTTTATTTTATACAAGTCTTACAGAAATGTACCTTTCTATTAGAAATACATATAAATACATATTATAGACATTCTTTGTTGGGGTAGTTAGGGGGCTTTGACCCATGACTTTAGTATTTCTGCAATCCTACTTACAGCCCCGATAGATTAAATGCATGCACGTGCAGATGTTTTTCGCCTCGGAGCCCACCATAGGAAATACAGTAGGCTAAGAATACACTACAATGAAGGATCAACACATTGTCTGTTGGGTATCAGACACCTTGCAGGGAAACTGCAGTAATGCAGGGGATTTGAAAATAGTTTACACCAGTAACTTGTCAGTTAAGAGTGTTACGCTGATCGGTGGTAAAGTGCAGTGTGCTATCTGCAGCACAGCAGGCTGACTTTTCGGTCCTTATCTGCACGAGCACTGGAGGTGTGACGGGCTGTTTTGCAGCAGAGTCACAGCGAGTCTCAGACACGCGATTGGCTGGACAGCAGGGCGGAAGTGCGTCTGGTGTCCCAGCTGTGCAGAAAAACAAAACAAGGCAAGCTGCGACTGGTGAGTGCTAAAAAGACACAGTGGACCCTCTTCCTATTATTCCAAAACATCGTGGTAGCTTCCGTGACTCGCATTATGACACGGTTACTATGCTAAACGCGGTTTAACGGCGCGTGTCGCTGATCGCTAACATGAGGGAGGTGTGTGGCTGCTCAGGCTGTCCTCATATGTCAGATGTTGTTATGTAACACAGTCTGCACGGAGCATGCAGGCAGCCCAGCCTGTATCTGCTGTCGTGTTGCTGCACGGATGCTGTACACAGCTTCCAGGTCGCTTTCTACGCTTGTTATGAAGACGCTGCGTTTATGTCCCTGCTGTTGATGTGCAGACGCTCGAGCAAGCTTTCATTTTGACGCCGTTGCAATCAAACAAAGGGAGCTTGAAATGGATCCTCCACAACGTTGAACAGCCAGACTTAAAGATGAAATTAGCCAGGGTTCATGTTATGTGTAGAAACGCTATTACCGTGGCAGTGCAGGGCCCATAACCACACCTGGAGATTATAGCCAGACATTTATCCACTAGATCTCAATAAAGAGAGCTCCTAGATGTGCCATGTTGCATCCGTTCTCAACATATGGAGAGAAGACCACTGTGGTAGAGCAAGCACAGCACATTGCCATTGGCAATACCCACAGTCTCAGCTTTCAATAATGGATAGAAGTGACTATGTGTAGTGTTATGTTGCAATATTGATAACAATTTTATTTTTACATTTTCTCGAAACTCATAAACACTTGATGGTTAAAATAACCTGACATGAATATGAGTTTTGGGCTAATCCAGAATTTAAAATACCTGAAAATCAAGATATTTCATCACATTGATGAAATAAAAAATACGAATCAAATATTGCCCCAAAAATAATCCTGCTCATTGATGTGCAACTTTGCTCACAACGGCCCAACCCACCGAGATATATTAAAGTGAATGCAATCACAGGAGAAACGGTACGGCAACATTTCTGACAATAGACGAGTAGGTCTCATGGTATACTATCCCCGTCAAACACATACATTATTTTAACTAAAACATTTTGGATTCTACTTCCACTCTATGGTTAATAATCAAGGTCATGGGGTCTGTGATGTCACTATTAGGTTTCTAAATGTACTTCTCTGGGCCTGGAGTTATAGTTACCCATCTGAACATGGTCCCAAGCATCACTGCCACAAAGTAGCTGCTGTGAACTATTGTATTTAAAGATATTGTTGTTGACCTTGTATTTATAGAGAGACTTGGGGAGTTTTTTTGTTAGTGATAGAATATTGGTCATCTATGCTGCATCACAAGGCCGTTCAGCATTGGCTTCACATTCAGCTTTTGTTTATTGTCGTGGTTGTTGTATGTCAGACCAATCTATTTATTTTGACTTGAGTTGACCTGTTGTATGTTGGATCTTTGGTTTCCAGCACCATGATGGATGAGCTGGTGCAGGACCTGGTGTCTGCTCTGGAGCAGACCTCAGAGCAAAACAAGCTGGGGGAGCTGTGGGAGGAAATGGTCCTGAGTCCACTGCACCAGCGCCGGCAGATCCGGCGCCGCAGAGGCCGCAAGCGCTATCGTGAATCGTCCCTCTATCCGCTGGAGCACAGACGGTGCTGGATTGAGGCCTCTGAGTCCAGTTTGGACGAGACTAAAGGATACAGGGAGAACTCTTCCTCAACCATCGCTGCCTCTGTGGCCAACTGCAGTGACTCTGACGACGTGACTTCAACCAACCGATGGCGGTCCGTCATGAGAGGCCCGGTCAGGACTAGGCAGCCCTCCTGGCCAGAGTCCGACTCCTTCACCGAGAATAACGCAGGACGGCATCTCAGGAGGCGGAGGAAGGTCAAACGCATGACTTCAGACATCACAGTTAGGCTGCAGCAGAACTTAAAGGTTTCTGGTGTAGATAGGAAACGGAGACACCGGCCGTCTAGGATGCAGCATCTGCCAGGATCGAAGAACAGGTCTGGCGGTTGCGTGGCAGCAGACCGACAGACTGAAGGAGCCAGGCTGATGGGAAAGGAGTGCTGGAAGAGGAAGATGGCCAAGGAACACAGAGATGCCGCTGACGAGAAGATGTCTGAGGGGTAATGTTAGATTCAAGAGAATATATCAGTATTTTATCAAACCTAACCCTTCATTCATTACAATGTTGTTACACAGTTAGGCCTTTTCGGAAAAGATCCAGCCAAATTCTGGGATTACATAAAATGCTACAGTTCATTATTTGTAGCAAAGAGTTGCAATTAAAAAAAAAAAATAAATCGACATTTAATTTACAGCATTGCAATCGAGCCAAATGTTAACCCTGTCATTGTTTGAAAAGTCAGGTTTAAAACCATACTGAAAAAGGAGCTCAAAACTCTAAAAGCCCTTTTTACCCTTTAAATGGAAAGTTACCACGGCAGTTAAACCCATAAGATAAAAGTCATGGGCATAACTACTATCAGACAGGAGCAATTAAACAAGGCGACATTTAAGATGATCTATACTGCCTGTCTTCATCCAGCCACTTGTCAATATTCAGCGTGTCCTCAACTAAACCAAAAAAAGAAAAAGTTTCACAATCATACCACTCCACTTTAAAGTATTGAGTTGACATTAAAAATGAATGATAGAGTCTCTTCATCTTCATCTCCTATAGCTGAAATGATCACCAGGGAGGGATCTTTGATAGTTATGCCTCTGGGCATTTGCCAGCTCATTATTACCTTTCGAGAAATATTGTCACAAATAAATAAGTGACTTGGTGTGGTATTGATTTGTTTTGAAATGCATTCCTTTCTTGGGCTGGGTAATTAAAGCTTGGCCTGTCCCAGTGTCCCACAGTGCTCCCTCTTGTGTGCATTTTATTTAGCTAAACTAAACGTGGCTGTAACTGGCAGCAGAAGGTGGCTTTATATTAAAACGGCGGAGCAAAGACTACAATATACCGTGGAATCAAAAAGGCTAAATGTTGCACAATGACTGACAATTATATTAAGCTGTCACCTTATCACCTTAGCTGCAACTAACAATTATTTTCTGTGTCGGTTAATCTGATGATTTTTCTGTTAATCGTGTGTTCAACTGACCAAAACTGTTATTTCCTTGCTCTAATGTCAATGTCTTCAAATTTATTCTATAATTTTTTATCAAAAGCTGCAGTCCAAAACATCCAGAATAATTAATTTACAAGGCACATCTACATGTGCAGTACCTTCCAACAATAAGGTACTTTTATTGTAATGCGCTTGACATAAAACAAAAGGCTACAATAATATAACACCGAATGTTGTGCCAATCCATCCAGTAGACATTAGAGATATTTCATTGAAAAAATTGAAAATATGACCTGTTGGTGGCGCTAGTGGTCGATCGCTTAAGTTATTCGGCTTCGTCCTCTGGTGACCATGAATGTCTTTACAAAATGTCATGGAAATCCATCATACTAAAAAACTATGTTTTTTCAGAATGTATACTTGATGTTTTGGCACCTAATACCTGATATGGTTCACATGCATAATCAGCTGATGAATAGAAGTGGTGGGCAGTTCAGTTGCCTGCTAATATAACGTTCAGTAACAGAGTCCTTTAACCTCCCATTCTCAATGTCCTGTCATGCTCATGCACAATGTATTTCGTTTGCTGATCTCATTATCTGTTGATCATATAAAACACGTAAGAAGAAGACGTTTGAGGTAACCGGTAATGGGACAGACAGAAGGCTTTACATCATCTAGTTTAATTTGTGCTGACCTCCCTGGCCCCTAAACGGTACTTGTTTTCTTACTTTATGGAAAAATCAATAGCCGTTCTGACAGAAAACAGCTCCGGAGAAGAAATAAATGGGAACACCGTGGCAGGCTGTCAATCATTTCTCACTTACACAACGCCGACGCTCTTGATTGCTGCTCAGTAGACTGCCACACTTTACCGAGGGCTCGACAATCTAATGGATAAGCTGTAGCGGAGGCAAAGGATACGAACAAATGGTAGCAGTGATGAGGAGTTGACAGTGGTACAACAGCAGTATTTATACTCAGAGAGTGTACGGTCCATTTATTGTCAGACACAGACGCCATTGTTGAAACGTCTTTTGAAGCGGTCGGATTCCTTTAGTCTCCATTCGTTCCATTAACCTTTCTCATATGTGTGAGTGTCTGGTGTTTTAAAACATGCCTCTCCTCAAGGTCACTCCTCCTATGTGCATACAGAGCGGAGCTTTGCCTTCAGCCACCCAAGTTCAAGGGGAGCAGATGTTGGCAGCTCCAGTTGGGCTCCACATCCTTGATTAGACCTGGCCCAGCCTGCTGGCATGTGAGGCCACCTGGCATCCAGGCTGGCCCAGCAAGCAGGCCTCACCTGTGTGTAGACGCTGTCCTGGGCTCAGCCTCCGTCTCCAGCTGCGAGCTGCTACTGCTACTACCAGGAAAAAAAACAAAGCCATCGTGCGTGCCTTTCTCACACTCGGCTTATTCGTGCTGTAATTTATATTTTTGAAAAACTCTATGAGGAATTTTTGGGAAAGCAGTGCAGCATTTGCCGAAGTTAATTTTCATAAATCTCTGAGACTAATCCAATTACTGCAGCTCGGGGATGGTGGGATAACCTTATAATCAGACACCCATGGAAGAGGGCATGGATTTGGGTTGGGGAGGCTTGTTTGAAGAGCCCACAGATCCATTGTTATCAGCGCTTTGCCCCCCCCCCTCTGTCTCTGCCTCTTCTTTATTCCTCTGCAGAATGAGCCCGGGCTCAATAAATGACGGCTAGCCTGTAATCTCTGTGCAAACTGGTCTGCCTCTCCCAGGAGCTGAGGATTATATACTAATGATTAGTGCTCATCTGGATACTGTGTTTTGCTTCACCTCTTTGGCTTGTGTAGAGACAATAGGGCCACGTGGGGACTTAAGTTCAGCACTGAAACACTGGAGTGCGGTTTTTGTTTTTGCCCTTGCCTTTGGTTCACCATGGACATATGGTATTTTATGTAATTAAGACTTATTTGTTTTTACAGCACTTAATCCAAAGTAGAATATTTTATGGCTCGGAGGAGTGCTATTGTGTGTGTGTGTGTGTGTGTGTGAGCCAAAGACCAAGTTTGCACAAAATGTTTGTCAACTTTTCTTGGCAAAGGTCACTGCTGAAGAGAGAAGAGGTGTTTCTTTTGGTCCTAAGAAAAATGGGTGTTTCAATTATTCATGGCATTAATTAGGCAGTACTTAATGGAAACAGTCTCACATTGGCCCTGTGCTGCTCCAAGCGACATCACATTACACCTTTAATACGGATAAATACTTAATGGCTGTCTCTAATTAATTGTTTGTACCTGTGATTCTTTTCAAACTTTGAACAAAATCCCTCCAAAATGAAGCAAACATATCTTTTTTACTTAGAAAGTGGAAGAAGTTGAGATGGAAATAGTTAATTATCACTGGTTCCTAAAGAAAGGTTGTAGAATGAAGCATACAATTCAAAGTTGTTGTTTTTGTAGGGCTGTGTCCTCTATACTGATGTTGCAGCGCTGTGTGCTCCAGATGCCAGCCAATGTGTCCAGAGGTGGGGTACAGCTGAGCCGGGGCCTGGGGAATCAGTCTGGAGAGAGGGCTGAAGGGGTGGGACGGGGTGGAGGGACGGTCCAGGACTGCTTGACTAGGCCTGACATCCTCCAGAGGCCTGCTTCCTCTCACATCTGCTTCTTGCGGATGTGAGAGGAGATGATGCAGGACCATCTGGCCAGGAAGACACGCAGGCTGGACGGACGTTTTTCAGATCCTGCCGTCACTTAGAGGCCTCTGCAATATGGCAAAGCGGCGTATCGGCGCATATCTGACCCTCCAGCTTTCTCCTATAAGCAAGGTCAGCAATGAAAAACAAGAAGCAAAATGCAAGGCAATCAAGAGCATCAGTGCCCATCTTTCACAAAGTAGTTTGAATCAAAATCTGTTTTATTTATTTATTCTTATGGTCTACAAATGTCACAAAAAAAGATTTGTTCCAACAGCTGGGCACTGTAGAGTTTTTAGTAAATAAAGGGTTTGTTGGGGACTAATTTCATCTGCGAATCAATACACTTTAGTGAGCGTTTATGGCAACATATACTTTATGAGAATGACTGTATTCACCCGGTGCGATGATGTGACTTGTCCTTAAAGCTAACTGGTATTCAGAAAAGGTCCTCTGGAAAAAGGATGATATTAATAAAGATTTATGTAGTTATTGAATATGTGTGCGTGACACATTCGCTTGTTACAAGTCAGCAATGACAGCATTGTCTGAGAGAGAAAATCCTTTTTCGTCCCTCCATCTGTGTCAACTCCACACCCCCCTGATCCCCCTCCATGACCTTCGAGTGTCTGGAGGTCTCAGTTCAAGGTGGCCGAGGTGTGAGAAAGGCAGAGAAACCCAGGGTGGTCTGGGGTAGCATGAGGGGGCTGAAAGGGTGTGGAGGCATTGTAACAGGGGTTTGCCCCGGGGGTGTGGAGAGGAGCAGCGGCGGAGCAGTCCAGGCAAGTAAGCACTGGCAGCCCACACAGCAGATGTTGGCCGGTTGCTGTGTGGAAGCGGCACGTCTGTGGGTCGCTCTGTGCGCGGGGGGCACACCCAGAGGGAGGGGCGGGCAGGGGAATGTGTTTCGCTCTCCTGTCATCCTCCACAACGCAGGCCAGATTAGATTGGAGCTGACAGCGGAGGATATTCAATTAGATTGTGCATGTCACTCAGTGGCTTCGATCAGAGCCTCTCCTCGTGCCTTTGTGTTTGCTATCGCAACAAGGGAGAACGCCGCACTGTCTGTCTTTCTGTGTCATTTCCATTTATGTCGACCTCTAGCTCCGGACTTCTCCATTATTTTTGTTATTGAATGCTACATGTTAAATATTGACATTACAGGGTCATGTACATTTTTGATTGACATTGTTCACTTTTCAGATGCTGTAGTGTTGTCTGACCCAAATAACCCATCAGGTTTGAGATGACAATTCAAAGCAGAGTTCTTCATCCTCAAATGTCGTTGATATTAAACAAACAGGTCGGTGACGATCATTCGCATGTGATGTTTTTCTTCTTGCTTGCAGGGAAACCAGCAGCACATGCAGCAGTGACCCCGGTCTGTTCACCAATGATGAGGGAAGACAAGGTATTACAACGTTAATACCGTTAACATACCTTTGGTACAACAGCTTAAATCACTTATTGTGGTTCAATCTGGTAAGTAAAAAAACACTGGATTTAATTTAGTGTATTTGGAGCTCACAGAGGAAGCGTTGATGAGTCGTCAGATTTGGACAATAACCTGCTCGACTCTGAGGGAATGCTGGGGCTAGAGAGGGAGGTTTCCATACAACGGGCTGGTTGCTGGGCACCCAGGCGCCTCTAATAAGACGTTGTCATGTCGTGTTAATGAGCGCTGAAGCCTTTGCTAATCTCATTAGCCGTGGTGGGGCCAGGCGGCCTCTGATTTAACAGTTGTCACTACACCTTGACTGTGAGAGGCATGGTTCCTGCGTGTTCTTTGCTGACTGACAGGCCTGAGAGGAGCTGGCCGTCTGGGGACGAAGCTGCTGATGTCTGGTTGGCGTGTAATTGAAGGAGCAGTTTACCCTTAAAAGATGCACCCGCGTGTCAGCTCAAGCTACACTGGAGTTTGTAGGACCACCAAACATACAGCAACTTAGCTTCTCCCAAATTGAATGATTCAAAAAAAGCCCAAAGAAATCATGCGCTACTTGATTTTCTTTTGGACAAAGCAATTTCTACGCCGGTGGTGCTTTTGACTTCGGCATTGCATTCAGCAAATATACGCTAGAAATGTGCAGCAGGCTGCAGCATGCCGGTCGATGCAACATCTTCCCTGTCCCCGCGTACAGGTGATGACGAGCAGAGTGACTGGTTCTTCGAGGGGGACTGTGGAGTGGGTAAGGGTGTGGCCGGCCTGCTGCCCAGCTGGGAGTCAGACAACCAGCTTTCCCTCGAGGATAACCGGGCCCCGCCTACTTTCCTGCAACCAGCACGACCCTCTCAGAGAGGTAGTGGACGACGATTCTGTGCTTTAGACACAAATTCTTACAGACATAAATTTCTTTTCAGACCATTTTGCAACACAGAAAGATAAACGTGCTTTTTTGCTGTTGCAGGGTATCGGTATCATTCACCTCTTAAGCGAGTGCCTGGCTCTGCTGCCTGCTGCATTAGGAAGGACAGGAGGCGGCTTCCCAGCAAGGTTAAAGCCTCTTCCTCTTTTGTAGAACACCGTTATAAACTTTCTTATGGTCTTTGTTTCTTACTGTGCATCTTTGAATTGTGTTTTACAGAGCAACGGCATGCCAGTGTTTGTAGAGAGACTGAGACAATTCTCCCAAGATCCTTACCAGAGAGAGTAAGATATACTGGTTACAACTCTTTTAAATTGTTGCAGAACTCTGTTTCCATCATGATTTTGCACCTGGTGATTTTACTTTGATTATCTCCTTTTAGCCTTTGGCTGCCTTCTGTTGGAAAAAGAGACCGAAGCCAGGTATGTTGCAGTACAAGCGTTATCTTTTTGACCCCAGTTTGTTCAGACTTTAATGGTGAAAATGCAAAAATCTAAATTTTATTGGTACTTTCAATTTCCAGTTGAGCCCTTTGTGCCCATTACCAGTGTGTCCTATTGACATGGTGTCAGAGAGCGCCCGTCTCAGATGTTCCACCTCAATCTGCAGAAACAGGTAGTTGATGCCATGTGTTAAATATCGCAGCCTTTCAAGGGCCTATTGGAGACGCCGTTCCATGTTTTCGATCAAAGCTCAATATATTGATGGACAAGTGTATGGCTTTTTCATTTAGATAAATCAGTTACGGAGCATAGGTCACTGTTAACTAGAGTAATCTTTGTTAAGATGATGCCTCAGAGACTGTGTGTGCATAAATGAGTGAATTCAAAGCATGTTTCATGTTGCAAATACACTATATCTGATGCATATTCTTTGTAGTGGTATACAATATATAACCCACATATTTCAATGTCTGTGTGCACATCCATCGTATCGTATTCATTTTGTTATCATTGGCTTTGCGTCCCCATTGCTTGGGATCTCACAGAATAAAATGCTGTATGCCTAAAAATAATAAGAATTACAAAATCAGCCATTTTTTTCTTCAAATGTAAATGTTTCTGTGCGACCCTGTTCTCCAGGACCCCAAACAGAAGATTAGTGTTGATCCCGGGCCGAAGTCTGAGCTGAACTGACAACAGGCAGCTACAGTTGGATGCAGCGATACTTAAATCCAATAGTTTTCAAGGTCAGCGTTCCCAAATAGAGAAACACTATGTGTTGACATAGTTGTAATGCAGATTCAAATCCCTGCATTTCTGGGGCTACACAAAAAAATAAAATAAAAAGTAAAATAAAGATTTATCCAAAAGATCTTTGTCAAAGCATCACATCGCTCCCAGTCATCCCTGGAACTGTTGGATCTGCATGGGGGACTATTGAGAAGCCGCTTAGCCCCCTTGGCCTCGAGTCTGTGGGACTCATTGTATTGTTTCCACTCTGCCTATTTATGGTGCATTCTTAATTTTGTTTCACACACACGCTTCTTCCTCCCTCTCTCTTGGGTTATTTCACAGAGCGCTCCAGCGCTCCTTGATGAGGGGCAAAAACACGACTGCAATGAAAAGCCCCCGACTTCTTAGGGCTTTCTTTTCTAAACTGGCCCTTTCTTCTCCACCTGAAAGGTTCCTTCAGATTCCAGTTTGAGGCATTGTGAATACTAATTTCTCTCTATTAAGAAGCCCTCATATCCCTGCCATGCTCTCATTTGAATGGCGGACTCAGGGGAGACCTCTTAATTCCTTTATAGTGGGATTCAAGACCCTTCACTTCAAAAAGTATAAATCATACTCCCAAATGAATGAGGGAGAGAGGGGGGATTGACGAGAGGGGCTTCTGATGTGTCCCGTTGGACGGCACAAGCTGAATCTATCTCCCCAAGCTGCTCAAATCCACTCTCCAGTGAGACGGTTGCTCTGTCCTTACGGCCCAGCTCTGCACACATAGCACCCATTTACTTCCTTTAACTTCCTCCAAAACACACGTTCACATGCAAACACAGCATCAGCTACAGTTATTGTTTTGCATGACAATGAGGAATGCTATAATTGCTCATGCATGCTCCCTAACAAACTTGAAAAGGTCCACTCCTGATCTCACTTCACTATATTTTCATTTCTTTCGAGCCTCTTACGGGAATGATCGATTTCTAGCGCTGAGCTCCCCCATGCGTCTGACTTTTCTTTGTTTCCAAACACCCTTGAGAGAAAAGTGTTTTCTCTGTGGGCAGAGTGTAAGCATTAATCTTGTACTGCGGCCAGGTTGAAATGATACTGTATTAATAAAAGCTGTCATCTCCTGTTTGCAGCGAGTTGACGGCGACAATCAGAGATTTGATGTTAAGTGATAAAGGCGGTATGAGGGTTGCATGCTGTTTATCCTCGTATCGGCGTGGGGAGAGCTGCAATGCTTTGTGGGATTTGGCTGTAATGCTCGGGGCCGGCAGCCGTGTTAAAATGCATAACTGCCTCCCACCTGATCCAGGCAGCGGCAGCTTTTATCTATTGACTTATTTATTTCTAAATGACACTTGTGCCGTGAGATAAATCATAGTCTTACGCCCACTCCCTTCCCAGTTTTCATTTTAATTGTGAGATCTCGGTGTCAGCAGTTAGTATATTGGTGTGAGTGGCCTATTGATTATTGATTTGGAGCTATTGATTATGTTCCCTGGAGACCCTAATCCTTTCTGATTCATTTGAATACCTCTATTAATCTTGAGATCCTGCTCACACCTGAAGCGCCGTGTACCCTAATGAAAATAGATGGCCATTTTGTAACTGCGGCTCTTCACTCCTCTTTTGATTTATTATTTTTAATTGATATATTTGCTTTTGGATGTGGGCGCCAAAATTACAATTGACCCCGTGTCAGTGCTGTTTTATTCTGTACCCTAAGGGACTGCACTGCATTTAACAGCGTCTCATATGACCTGAAAAATCTATCTTGGAGACTTTTTTCCTCAGTGTCCTTGTGTCTTTGACAGAATTGAGTTGTTGTTGTTGGCCGTCTTCATTACATATTACTGTTTTTTCATTGCTCATTGCCTCTAAGTCAATCTTTGTTTTCTCATCACAGTTTCTGTATATTTAGGGACAAAACAACTGGCTAACATCTGTCACACTGTTTAAACTGATGAAGTAACAGATGTTAAGTAATAAAAAAACAGTGTTCTGCATTTTTTTTACCACTTCTCTCAGTTTTACACAGAGCCATGTAACATGCTTATTAAAAGCCTTTGGGTTCGGCTCTGAGATGAATGGTGGTGTTTTGCCTTGGTTAATGAGCCAGCTGATGGTATTCTCATGTTTGATTAGCATTGTGCTGAGTGTCTCAGTGGGCTCCTGGCGCGGCCCCTGAGCGGCTGTGCCTCTCCGCTCTCAGTGGCAGGGGAGGGCCCTCGCCTCCCTTCAGGCTGCAGGGGCCCTCGAGTGCCTCGGCCTCGGTGTAATGAGGGAAGAGATGGAGGGATGGACCTCCACACATTAGCACCAAATGCATCAGGGTATTACTTTTAATACCGGAGGCGTGCCTCGTGAAATAATGCGACGTTGTTAAACGGGGATCGATTTTGGAATTAAAAAGTTAGTTTGCAAAGATTTACTGTGGGGAGTTCAATGCCTGAGCTCTTTATCAGGGGCGCAAATGGCTGGTTATGTGCTGTCCGACAGCGGTACGATTGAGGGATCGATAGGCGCGTGATTTACTAACTGGAGTACAGGTAATCAATAAGTATAAAAGTAAATGAAATATGCATTACTGGGATTTTATTAGAGAGGGGTAGCAGGGAGAGAATAACGGTCAGGCCATTTATTTTTATATCTATTGATTATACAACATAGAGACTTCGCTCAAAGTGTGCGCCGCACAGCTCTCGACACCCCACCACTACACACCCGTCATGTGATTTATGGGTGTTGAGGTCATGGAACATGCTGCCTGTTAAAAGGCTGCCCTGACGGGGCCTTATTGTAGCATGTGCCTGGTAGGGTTGTGGGCTTTGTGTTGCCTGCAGTCCAAAATGAGCCACGCTGGTTAACAAGGAGCTCTCTTTTGTTTCAACCTCTGTTGTTTAGCAATCCGACAGTTATGCTTTATTGGCTTTTTTTTTTTTTTTTTTCAAACAGCACACCATATTGTTCATTAAATCCTCTCTGAGATGCAGTCTAGTTTTGGATAACAAATAGAATATGCAAGATTTTAACTTCAGCCTTATCATGTCTTGTCATATCTTATTGTAGCACTAACTCTCTTCTCTCTCTTTCACTCAGTCTGTCCCCCTCCTCCATACACACTGCACCCCCCACATCCCCCCAGAGTGATGGAACGGACCTTGACCTTAACTTTACATCTCTGAAGTCAGGGCTATTAAGCTTGTGGTGGGGGGGCTTTTCCGATTTCAGGGCTCCTGACATATGACACGGGAGCCATAGAGCAGGTGTAATTTGTTTATGTGAACTCTGCAATGACTCATGCCACACGCACCCACCACCTCTCCTCATCGAATATTCTCTCCGGTGAAAATATGTATTAATGAAGAAAAATTAAGATGTGGCAAAATATGCACCGTACTGAGACTGAATGTAAGCTGCTGTGTTTGCAAATATGCCTGGCTGGCTTTTATTGACTTTTGTGAAATGTATTAGATTTCTACATGTTTATGTGTGTATTGTGGGCGGGAGCTGCATCATCAAATTGTGGGTAACGTTTGCTCACTCTGTCTGTGTCTGTGTGTCCCCCCCCCCCC